ATGTTGGGTTAAAAGATCGGCTAATTCCCTAGCTGATGGTTTAGCTAAACAAGGGGCAGAAAGGGATTCACTGTTTTGGGCTAAGCTGTAACTTTAGTGTTTTTTCCTTTTCTTTTCCTTTTCTTGAGGTCCTCTGTTGCTCTTGGAAGATAAGTATGTGTGTCTTCCTCTTGTAAATCTTCTACTGATGATTTAATGAAAGTGTTATTGATCAAAAAAAAAATAACAATAACAACAACAACAATAATAATAATAATAATAACAATAACAATGACAATAATCATAATAATAATAAAATGTCAACTGAATAGATCCTTTACAAGTTAGAGTAAATGGAAACAAGCACAACCAAGAATATAGAGAGACAAGGAATATTGAAAAAAAGGAACTTTTTCTAATAAAGGAAGATGCTTTATTCTGTGAATTTTCTCGGTGTTGTTCATCATTTTTCAGGGTATCAACACTACTGGACATAAAGCAAACACCTGGTAAAATCAAAGCAGCAGTTGTCTTGAGGAAACAGGCAGGTGCATTGTAATGTTTTATTGTTGAACAACATTTTCAAGAAGCTAATGACACATGGGTGAATAGTGCATCGGGTGGAGAAAGCTAAAGAGTTAGGGATCAACAGATTGATTATTGAAGGTGATTCCAAAATTATTGTGGACTGGCTGAAAAAGGGGGAAGGAGTAATATGGAAGTTAAAGAATGAATTCAGATGTTTCAAGCAGGTTTCTAAGGATATGATAATCCAAGTAAAGTGGATTAGAAGATCCGCAAACAGTGTGGCAGATGGGTTAGCTAAACATGGAATTCAGAGACAGTCCACGCTTTGGGCTGTTTTGTAAATATTGATAGTGGTTTTGGGCTTGATCTTTGCCCACAACTCCTTATTGTACTCCTTTTTATAATTAATAATAAATTTTTTCTTGTGTTTCTGATAAAAAAAATGACACATGGGTAAATATTTAAGTAATGAACTCAACACAGCAAGGCCTTATCTACCAAATATTTTGGGGCCAGCCATGCAATTACCGTTCCACAATTCCACCCATCAGATGCCATATATACTCTCCTAGGTCTCTTAAAACCCTCAACTTGTACAAGATCTTTTCATCTTAATGGTGTGGCAGACCTTCTTATATGCTTGTGACCAAACATCTTAATCAATTTTCCCTCAGAAACAATGCCTAATAGTTCCATAAAAATAATCTTATGAAATGTAAAGCTTTGAAAATTTTGGATACGATATTTATCAAAAAAATTGGACACGATGCATATTGAAGCATGGAATTCATTTTTTAGTTGTTAATAAACAAAATTTTATTGATTCTATAAATAAAATGTGTGAAGCATGAAATTTATGTTCCTTGCACTCTGTTCTATGATTGTTATTTTTCAGCTCCAAACAGCAGCTAAATGCCTAGCCAAATATATAGGAACATTCTGGTGATAAGGGCACTGAGGTCCAATAAGAATAGATAAACAATCCAGAAGCATAATACATGCGACACTAAAAACAGTTGCAATTGAAGTAGAGATGGGAGATTAGACTAGTAAGTTGGACCAGTTAATTTGCAGGTTCGCTTGGCTAAGAGTGTGAACTGTGCTGAAGCACCACTCTCCCAAGGTTGTTTTGTTTTTTGTTCATGATTTGATTGTGGATTTCCTACTCTTATTTGCCTTGTTGGTGAGGCTCTGTTTTTGGTCTTTCCATACCTCTCTAAAGGGGATAGTGATTGTGTATCTCTTTCATATATCTATTAGTAAAACCTTTTTCTCCCAATTAATGTATCAGTGATGACCAGAAAAATAGCAGGAACAAGAACTTGAAGATGGGATGGGAGTTAATTAACTCAATGCATGGTACAGGAAGTATAGTGCACTTACGTCGCTTTCTGCATAGCCTTCATTGCAGATGCTCCAGTTCTCAATGCATCAACTGTCTCAGTTGTAGCTTTTGCACCTTCTAACATTATCATCTGAAATGTCAATACCAAATGACACAATTCAGAAAATTTCACATCAGATAACATACAAGGAAGTCACTAAAATCTTCTTGAAACAAGTATAAAACTTTATCTAATGTTATCAACGCACCTGATCATGAATCCGCAATTGGAAATTCCCAAGCTGCTCAATTTGTTGTTCATATAGTTTTTTCCTCTTCAAGCATTGTATTGCCGCTACATTACAAAAGCGAAGTAGAAAATCAACCAGGGAACATCAAAATTAGCAGGAGCAGGTTACTTTACAGCATATTTTGGAGTTTGTTAGTGTTAGTGGTGTTAGTGAAGGGGTATTTTGGTCTTTGCACTTGTTGAGAATGTTGATGTGTACTGTTATGTTAGTTCGAGTGCCTCTTACTTAAA